TATTTTGTTTTTGTAATTCATAATTTTAGTTTCTCAGTTGTTAATAATTTCTTCAATTTTGGTTATTTTGTTTTCTAAAATTGTTATTTTTTGGTTTTTTGTCATGTTTTTTTATCTTTTGGCTAATATTTCAAATATCTTCTTAATACTATCAGTTATTTCTTTTCTGCCTTCAATTCTACTCGTTTCTAATTCATCTAGCACATCATCCATCTTTTCTTCAATTTTGTTAACTATATTTGTTAAGCGAGTATCCAAAACTTTTTCTATGGTTGGTTTCTGAAATTGTTCATAATCGCCTTCATAATTTAGTAAACTGTTGCTATCATACAGATTTCAAAAGTATTCCAAGAATTCTCCTATTTCAATTTCTTTTTCCTCAATCCTTTCTATTTCTTTAGTTTCTTTGCCGTTTTCGTCTAACTTCATGATTTCAATTTTTTCTTGTGCATCAGGATTGTTAACAATGAATAAATTTCAGAATTTTGGTCTGAGAGGATGATCAGGATCATCTCCCAAAAACTCTTTTTGAAACAACTTTTTATTAAATCTCTTCACTCACTGATTGTCTTCTGGCTTTAAAGCATTAGTATCTTGCCATCTTTTAGGTAATTGGTAATAAATGCCATATTCAGTAGCATACTTTTTAAATTCATTTCAGTTTCAACTAAAATCTAAGGGATTGCTTAATCTTCCTTCGCGATAAACCGCACTATCAACATCGTTTAAATAATTAGTTGCAAACACCCATAAATTATTGCTACGAGCTGACTGATCTACCCCTTCTAAACAATCTTTTAAAAATCTTAGTTTAGTTGGATCATGAGTTAAAGCGTTATTAGAAATTTGATCAGCTTCATCCACAAAAAGAATATAACGAATTTCGCCGTTTTCTTCTCTTTCGAAGTTTAGGCTCTTAACTAGCGTTCATTCTAATTCACTAATAGTATAAACAAACTTTTTTAAAGGTAATAATTTAGATTCTTGATCTTCTTTGGTAGGTGTTAATGCTGACCCTTTTATTTCTACTAAAGGATATCTGTTGGCTCTGAAACAGAGATTTTTCATAGTAGCAGTTTTACCAGTTCCTGGTGCTCCATAGAGCAAAGCACTATTATCTTTTTTTTCTGAGTCAGGTTGACCTCTTATGGGATTAAACTGTGTTTTTTCAATCCATTTTAAAATCTTCTCAGAGAGAATCAATTTTTCTTCTCTTAATATCAAAGAACTGTCGATTTCTTCTTCTTGAGCTTTTTCGTAATATTCTTGTAATGATGGAGGAAAGTGAATTGTATAAGTAGCAGAGCGAGAAAAAGAAAAGTTTGTATTTCTATCACCATCGGGAAAAATAGAAGCATCTTCTTGATATTTTCTGATCAGTGTGCTTCTTATCTTGCTTACCTCTCTATCTGCCCAACTGTTAATTGGCAATTCCCATATTCTACCTTTTTCTCAGGCATCTTTTTCCTGTTCTTCTTTTATTTCCTCTGCTGTTCGATTGTCTGTGTTCTGCTGTTGGTTTTCTTTTTCTAACCTCTTTTTATTTTCCTCTTCCGGTAAATAAATGAAAAAGTAATAACCTAATCCAACTAGCAAAACTGTTAGTAAAATCTGCTTTTGTTGTTTCTTTTTATCAGTCTTTACTGATTGCTGATTATCAAAATCAAAATATTTATCTACATTATACATAATTCTTATTCTCTAAGTCGCTTAAAAAAAGCCATTTGTCTCATTATTTTTTCCTCTGCCTCTTTTTCTTTTTTATCATCCTTAATTACTTTCTTATCTGATTTAGTTAGTCAGTAGATAACCAAAATGAGAAAAAGGGCTAAACCAATTAAGATTAAGCCTCTTTGGTAAGGTTCTAGATTAGTGTAATAAGGACTAAATTCTTTAACTTTGTTTTCTAATTGCTCAGTAGTTTCACCAAGTTTTTGTTTAATTTCGTTAGTAGTAGTCATAATGGTTAGGTTCTTCTTGGTTTTGAGTATAAAGATAAAAGATAATTAAAAGAGTAATACCGGCAAAAAGGTAAATTTGCTGTTGATTAACTAATTGCTGAGAATTGTTAGAGTTAGAGTTTTCTCCTCCATTACTTGGATTAGTATTTCTTGGATTTCCAGAACTAGAAGGAGGTTTTTTAGGAATATTACCTTTTAAAAGAACTTCTAAATCATCTAAATTACTGAACCTACTTAAATCAGCCAAAGGATTAGTTTTGATTTTTGATTTTAAATTTTTAGCTTTTTTCGCTACTTCATCAGCAAGCAATAGAAACTTGTTTTTATCTGCAACACTAGTATTAGTGTCATTGGCTTTTTTGACATTTTCATCATAAGCAGATTGTAATTCTTGAGCCTCTTTTTCTAATTGTAATAACTCTTTTTGGTGCTTAGGTTCTAGTTTCTCCACTTCGCTTAATTGATTGGCTAATTTAACCGAGAAAGTATTTAAAAAAGGTTTCAAGAAAATACCAAAATAATCATTTCAGATACAACAGACACTGGCTATCGAATAACTGTCAGAAGTTTGGCATTTTGTATTAAGACTTTTAATTTTAGTAATTAATGCTTGTTTTTTCTGATTGAAGATTGTTTCATTAGCTGATAGTTTTATTTCACTAACGTCATCCGCTATGCTATTAGTATCATTGAAAAATTTCGCTAATGATTCACAGTCCTCTTGAAGACTATGACTACCTCCCCATTCACATCTTCCTCCATTTCAATAACCTGCATCACCAGAAGCTTTATCGCCTTTTTTTCTGCGTTCTTCTCCTTCAGCAAAAAAACGATTTTGTAAGTCGGCAGAGTTGGTAAACTGCCCTGAGACTTTCTTTATTCTTTTTCTTCGTGTCATATTTTAAATCTTTAAAATTCGGTCAATTTAGTAATTAATTGCTTGCAGTTTTCCGTGATTGCTTGGTTTTTTGTCTTCAAAAAAAATAGTTCTTTTCAGTTAAGATTAGCTATTATTAGGTTGTTAGTTAAGATTATCAGGCAAAAATAGTTTCTTTAAAGTCTAACTAAGAAAAGACTGGTTTAGATTGATAAAAATAGTGGTTGCTTAAAGTTCTCCTTTCTTTACTAAACCCTTTAACTTCTCCAGTTCACCATTAGCCACTAAACCTCTAACTTTATCTAATTTCCTCTCGGCTCGATCTAATTTATTTTCCGCGATTACTACTTGGTTGTTAGAGAGATTATAAGTAGTCCGAGCAGTATCCGCCGAAACTTTCCTAGGAGTCGCAAAGTGGCGATAAACTTGCACTGTTCCTGAATTTTTAAGTTTTGCTTTTAGTGCTTGCCAAACTTCCATTATCTCTGCGTTTTTTTTTTTTTTGTGGATCAGTCATATTAGTCTACTTCTTCGATAAATGTTAAATTCTCTCTGCAATACCAACAAGTTATTTCAGGCTCAGGTTTGCCACTTGGGCGAGGGCAGTAAAATCTGATACATTTATGACGGCATTTATTTAGTTCAAGTTTGAGTTCCTTCCATACTTCCAAAACTTCCTCTCGAATCATACTAGACTAAACTTTCTCCTAATTCCTTAAACTCTTTCAATAACTGTTCTAAAACCTTTTCATTTTCACTGTTTTCTTTAGTCACGGTTTCTAATTTACGATTAGATTCAGTTAATTTAGTATTGCTTTCAGTAATCACTTGTTCTTTTTGAGTTAATTTAGTGGTAATCTTGGTTTTTAAGTTAGTGAATTCAGTTTTTAATAATTCTAATTTCTCTTTTAAAGTCATATTATTTGATAGTTTGGTTTAGTTTTCTGATCTCTTTAATTAGTTCATCGAGAGTGCTTTCAAAAAGCTTTTCTTGTTCATCAGATAAAGGATCAGTTTGCACTGATCGGCTAATACTAATTGGTGAGGGAGTAGTTAACTTCTGCTGTTCCGGTAAATAGTAAAAAAAGTAATAAAGAGTGGCTAAGGTTAGGGCAGTAAATAATAGATCATTCATAATTAGTGGTTAGTTGGAGAGTGCTTACTTAATAATCAAGCACTAAGCAGATAAGTTCCCGCTAGTAAAATGATTAGTCCATAAGTTTCTCCTCCGTTAGTTTCCTTGGTGGGAAAAGAATTATTGTTCCTTAATTCACTTACTCGTTGGGCTAAGTTTAAATCTCTTTGTAAACTAACTATTTGTTGCTGAGCAGTCCAGAGTTTAGTTCTTAATTGACTAGTTTTTTCATCACCTTTTACTAATTCATCACTAGCTTGCTCTACTGTATCATCTAATTCTTTGCTAATTAGTTGCAATTTATCATAGATTAGACCAAATTGCTTGACTGCTTCTATTCGGGCCAATAAAGAATTATCTAATTGTTCTTTAGTTTCGGTTAGTTCAGTGTTTTTTTGGGCTAATTTACTTCTTAGATTTTCAACTTCTTGCTGTTTTTCTTTTAACTGGTCATTGATTAAGGGTAAAGGAGGAGCAGTGGGAATATCATTAGCGGACTTAGAGCGTTTAAGTTTCTTTTTCAGATCAGAAGGTTTAACTCCGGGTTTGACCTCAGTTAGAATTTCCTGTTGCAATTGCTCTTTAGTCATGAGTTTTTATTTTTTTTTGCGATATCTACTGTGCACTGGATTTACTTTTGCTCTCTCTCTCTCTCTCTCTCTCTCTCTCTCTCTGCTATTTGAGATAAGAGAGCATAAAGTCCATTAAAATCAATCACTTGATAATCTTGGGCTTTAGCATCAAACAGGAGGTTAATTTGCCTTAACTGGTGATGATATTCTTGTTGCTCTTGCTTACTTTCGGTTTGTAATTCAGTGATTTTAGTTTCTAAACTAGTAATTTGCTCAGTTAGTTTATTATTTTCTAATTGCTCGGTATCTAATAACTGAGCTTTTTTCTTATATTTAGTCTCGCAAGATTTTTTTTCTTCTTTTAAACGAGTAATAATCCGTTCTTTTTCTTGAACTTGATTTTTGCGGGAATTAGTTAAGAGGGTGATTTCGGCTTCTAATTCTCCTTTGGTTCTTTTTAGTCCATCTACGGTAGTTTCGTAATCTTCATTCTCTTCCAGAATTTCCGTTAAAGTGCGACCATTAAGTTTAGTACGAATTTCATTGATGTCTTGACCACCAATTTCATTTCGGCAGAAATCAGCAAAGATTTGATTTACCTTTTTAACTTCATTTATTTCTTGCGAGGAAGCAGAATTAGTGAAGTTAGTTAGGGTATTTTGTTTTCTATTTTGGTAATAGAGATAGATTAGTGCTAGAATTAGGGCGATTATTATGAGGTCTTTATTTTCCATAAGTTAAAATCAGGGTAATTGGGTTAGTTGGCAGATCAAGCAAAAGTAAGAGTCGAAGAATGGTTTTCTCTTATTGCAAAGTAAACATTTATTCATAATCTTTTCTGTTTAGGATGCTTTTTTTATAAAAAGCTCCTAATTATTTACCGGCTTTTAGTTGCTGAACTTCTTTTTTCAGTTCATCAATCTGATGCTGTTCATGTCCGTTCTTTTTTTTCAATTCAATAGTTAAACCTTTCATTTTCACATAGTAGTTCCGCACAATCGCTAAACAGAAGACATTTGCCACCACCGAAGCCAAAGCAATTTCACAGCAAGTAATCATTATTTAGTAGGCTGCAATAACTTAGTTAAACTAATTCCCACTTGTTGATAAGCGGAGACTAATTTCTGCAGTTCTTTTTGTTTAGTAGAAGTTAGGTTAGTATTAGTTTTGGATTTAGCTTTAACCGCGATTAAATTAGTGGTTTTTTTCTTAGTTTTTAGTTTTTTTATTTTTGGCATAATTATTCAGATAATTCTTCAAAGCCGAGATGACAATCAAAGTCGCTGAGTTTGCTTAATAAACTCTTGATTACTAGTAAAAGATAATCATAAGCAATTTGTTCGGCTAAACTTGCTGGTTGCGGAGAATATTCCACTTCTGAATAGTTATTTTCATATTCAAAAAGTAAGGTGCGGTAATCAGCATCTTGATTTAGGTCTAAATTTTCCCTTTTTCTTAAATTAGGTAAGGGGAGAATTTGGTTTAGTAAGTCTGCTACTAAGTAGTGGCTCTTTTGCTCAACTTCATTTCAAAACTTTTCTTGCTTTGCTTCAGCGGTTAGTTTCTTAACTTTAACCTTAGTTTTTTTAGTTTCAGAAACTACTAATTTCTTAGTTGGGGGAAGTTTTTTGCTAACTTCCTTTTTGGTAGTTTTCTTAACCATGGTTACTTGTTAGTTTGGTAATAATTGTAAAAATAAACGGTTAAGGCTCCGAGAGCAAAAACCAGGGTGTATTCTTTTCAATTTTCTTTAATTTTAGTTAGCATAGATTTTTATTCAGATTCAGTTTTGTTCTTGTATACTTTTCAAGCATAAGTAGTTACCACATAGGTAATTAAACCTAAGGCTAAATACTTGAAACGATAAGACATATTTATTTGGGGGTTCATATTGTTTTTGTTAGGAGTAAATTGTCAACAATTTATCTTTCATATTTTTAAGGTATTTGTTTTTAATAAGGGTAATTACTTTCAAAAGTAAGCAATTAAGAGTAATAAGAATATTCCTAAGGCAATCGCCACTAAGGCTTGCTGGGTTTGTTGTCCATAAGCAATATTCTTTTCTAGGAGATTTTTAAATTCACTAGTTTTAGTTTCTAGGGTGGCTTTAACACTTTCCTCATAAAAGCCGGTTAAGGCTCCTTTTAAATCGGGTAAATAGTCTTTTCAGTTGACCATGTTAATTTCTTAATCTAGCTATTACTCAGCTTCTTTTTTAAATAATTTGTCAGTTAGTTTGGGGATGATCCCAGTTTCTTTCACGAAATGGGCTAAACTGATACCTAAAATTAGGTAAGTTGGCCATCAGTCGACATAACTTTTTCAGTTGTTTTGGTTATTCATAATTGGATAAGATTAGCAGGTATAATGGTTTAATTATTTTAGTAATTGTTTCCCAATCACATAAACGGTGCCAGTGAGGGCTAAAGTAACCGCAATTCCGGTGAGGGCATAGCCAAAACCAGTTTTTAAGTCTTCGCGATAGAGTACTTCATTTCTTTGGGCACTAATGGTCGGTGATTTTTGGGAGGTTTTAGAGTTAGTTAAAATTTTTGGCATAATTTTTAATCAGTAAAAATAAAAGATTTTTCTAGTTTATTTTCTAGAATAAGTTAAACATACTTCTTTCTAGTGGGATTCTAGTATAAGAAAATTAGATTTTTGGTGAGATTCCAAATTTTGAACACTTCTAGTTAAAACTGTTTACAGATTTATTCTAGTAAGGTAAAACTTCTGGTGGTGTTCCAGTAAGCTTAAATAAAGAAGAGAATAAAATTCTCATTCCTTAGTTAAACCCTTAGCAGGTAAGAAGGTTTTCTTTTTCAACCTTCCCTCCTAACTGGCTAAGAATTTGTTTTTGTAACTGATTATTCTCTTTTAAGAGAGTGATAATTTGTTGTTGACCTTGACTGAATTTAGTTATTTCAGTAGTTAAAGGTTTTAAATCGAGGCCGAGTAAGTTCATATTTATTCGTATTCTTTAGGGTTATATTCAATCTGTTTTCTTTCTTTTTCGTGGGTTAGTTTAACCGTGCTAATTTTATCAACTTTATTAGCCAAATTAACTAACTTTTGCTGAGCATTATTTTCTAAACTAGTTAACTTTTGTCAAATCTTATTTTGATTGTTAATAATGGTTTGTAAGTGGGGAGTGAACTGATTAATCGCATTTTGAATTTCCGCCATGGTACCGGTCATTTGGGGAACTTTTTGTCCGGTAAACTGTTCTAACATTAAGGGAGCAAAAGTTAGACATTTCGATAAGGCTCCCAAAAGGGAGTTTTCTGATTTAGTTTCCGCGGGGCTTTCTAAGGTATTTTCTAACTGGTTATCGCTTAAATTTTCTTGATTCATATTTTTATTTAGTTAAAGTAATTAAAGTATTTAAACCAAAGGCTAAACCTCCGGCAATTGGTAATCAGTTGATTCAGGCTTGAGTTTGTTGATTCTCGTTGATTTTTTTACCTTTTCAGTAAAGCAGCACACAAACTACGGCCACGGCAATTAAAATATTTTCTTTTTGGAGTAGTTCCATTTTTAATTATTTAAATTTCTCTTTAACACTTGGCTCTGTTTAAATCCGACTCAGTAAGCAGTATACTTTTTCCCAAAAGTTTTGGGTAAACAAGATTTTCCTTGCTTAAACTTTTTCTCGAATACTCCAATGTTAGGTAATCTAATCTTATCGCCATTTTTCATCTTTTGAAAAGTATTTAATAAGTCTTGTTGCACGATTTGATAGGATTGTTTAAGGAGTTGTTTGGTAATCATATTTTCTATTTAAAAATGATAAATGATCGGTTTAACTGGTTTTTTTATTTGGGGTTTAACTGGATAGTCAATGATTAAGTTATTACCGATATCATTCATCATACTTTCATTTTGGGTCAGGAGCAAAAAGAGCGTCGGAGAATCACGTGCGTGATTCCTCCAAGGAAGAATATAAAGATAACCATTTAAGAAATTTGAAAAGTGTTAAATTTGAAAAGGTTAAAAATAGTCAAATTTGCGAAAAAGAAAAAAACTTTTCCTTATTGTTAGTATTAATACATTAACTATCTAAAAGAAAATAAATAAAAGAAAGGTTTTTTGCTAGGAAAATCTTCTTTAAGCAAAAAATAAAAATGTTTGTTAGTTAACTAAAACTTTTTCAAAAATAAAAAACACTAGCAATAAAAGGTTATTTATAAGGATAAATTACAATTCTTTGACTTCTTTTAATCTTCATCCGCGGTTTCTTTTTTCACAATAAAAGAAATATTTTTTGTTCTTAAAAACTTGTTTTTCTAATACTTGCCAAAACTCTTTACTAGTTAGATTAAAAAAAGCATAAATCACTTCTTTACTTTTTCCCAACCTGGTTTCTGTTTCCAGGTTTAAATAGTAAAAAGGTTGATTTTTATAGGCTTTGCTTTTACTTAGTCCTTGATAAGCACTAGTGATAGTGCCGATTAATTGATGTAATTTTCTTTTTTGCGACATTTAGGATTATCAGATATAATTGGTGGTAAGAAAAATACCTTTTTCTTCTCACTAGTTTTGGTAAACTGGTGGAGGTGAAGAGGTTATCCCTCTTGTTCCTTAACTATACTTTGACTAGTCCAAAGTAAGAAGTTAAGACGAATAACACCCCCAAATTAAGGTTTATTTAAGGTCTAACCAGTAAAAGACCGGCAATAGTTGTTCAACAATTTCCGATTTGGTTCAGTTAATTGGACTTTTTGGTAAAGTTTAAGAATACTTGCTCTTTTATTTTTAATTGCTTGATTTCCCATAATGGTTGCTAACTTTTCCTGCTGTTTAAGGGATAATTTATACCAACTAGGAGGATAAGCTAGCATATCTTCTTTAAAGAGCATCTTTCCAGATTTCGCACAGTAAAGGATTTGGCAAATATGAAGCAGAGAATTTAAGCGAAAGTTACCGTGGTTTTTAGTGAAATATTTTCTTTGAGGATCTAAACTCAGTAAATATTGGGCTACATCTAATGCGGAAGTATTAGTCGTTCTTTTTTGTAGTGGTTTATTTTTCATAATTAGTTCAATAAAAAGCCTCTCCTTTGCAAATTAGTTAATAAAAATCGTGGATCTTTTTTTAAATATCTTTCCGTGGTGGCAAAGTGAGAATGTCCGAGTAATTGTTGAATCACCGGAGCTTCTAGATTTAAGTCATACTGTAAGATACTAGCAAAGGAACGCCGCAGAGTATGCGGAATAATCGTTCAGTTAAGTTGGAGATCTTGACTTTTTTTCTGTAAATACTTTCAAATGGCCATGTGCGAAATAGTTCATTTATTTTCTTGAAAGTTTTGTTTACTTTTTTTAGCAATGTAACTATTATTCAATAAATTAAAAACTAAGCGTTGTTTGTTACCTTTTCCTAAAACCACGAAAGCTTCCTTGTCTTCTACTTTTACTTGTTGCCAAGAGAACTTGATTGCTTCACTCACTCTTAATCCTAAATAAGCCATTAAGAGAATACATTCTAATAACTTATCATTCTTTTTGGGTAAAGCAGGATGACTCGGAATTTGACTGAGGGCGGATAATTCAGTAAAAGTTAAGACATTTTCATTAATTCTTTTCATTTTTGTAAACTTTTAGATGAGAGATTTTGTAAACTTATTAGGGTAAAAGTGCCTAATTAGAGTCAATAAGTTTACAAAAGAGGAGATTTTGTAAAGTAAATTATTCATTATGGGCAGGTAATATCTTTGGTTATTTCTATTTGACATTCATTAGGATAATGCTTAATTTCTTTTCATTCTTGTTTTTCGGCAACCTTTTCTTTGATTCATTTCTGACTAACTTTTTCACTTTCTATAATCGATCAAATCAAGAAAGGAAAAGTAATTACACTCTTAATAAACAAAACGAGTGTTTCGTTCTTTTCATAATCGCCTAAACCATTTCAATTGCTCAATCCTTTCAACCCTAAAAACAAACCTAAAACTGTAATTCCCATCAAAATGCCAAGAATAATTCTTCATTTAATTCTAGCTCGTTTTTCCTGTGCTAATTCTTTTAAGCATCTTTTATAATTGTATTTCTGATGAAAACCACAGTTTTTAGATTCTTTTCGACACCAATCGCATTTGGTATTAAGGTATTTGTTTTCTTGATTATTCATAATTAGTTGGGTTTTTTTTCTAGACACTTTTGGCAGACTAGGTTATGTCCTTTTCCGGTTCATTTACCATAGAATTCTAAAACTTGTCTTCCTTTTTGATCGGGTGGAGACAGTTTGATTGGAGCCTTACAAGTTTGACAGTTAAAGATTGTTTTTTCTTGATTATTCATAGTCTTTTATTTCATAAAATTAATCTTTGGCTGGCAAATAACTTTTCAACAATTGACACAAGTTCAGCAATCTTTAGCAAAAATCCTTCTCATTCTATAACCAGCCCTATAATAAAATTGCTCATCAGATTTTTTTCTTTATTTTCCTCTTGCGGTTTCCCTTAGAAAATTAATAATTCAAGTCTTAACTCCAAATTCTAGGGGGGCAAAAACGCCCCCTTTGTTTGCTGCCTTTATTTTCTTTTTCTTTTTTGTCAGTACATTTAGCGATAGAAAGTTCAGGTCTTTAAAATAACTAAGAGACTGTCTCCATTAAACTTGCTTAGTTCCACATTTAATCTTAATCTCTGTCTGCAAAAAGTTACTTATTATTCAACAACTTCAATTTTCGCTTCGAATTGAGTTGTTTCTATTCCTTTTACTAATTCTTCTATTCGATGAAGAAATTTATTAGCATTACTCTCATACCTTTTTTGCCTAACTAATTCATTATACAAATCAGCATTCTCACTAAGTTCTTTTACAAAAGTTAAGTATCCTTCTAGAGAATCAACTCTTAAAGCCTTGTCTGCCTCTTCTTTTATCTTACCCTTAAATTCTCCTCTGATAAGATTTCTTATTCCTTGTAATTTTTCTTCAAGAACACCAAATTTCCTTTTACCAGGAGAAGCCACATTATATTCCATTCTCAATACGTATTCATCATCTCCATCTTCGTTTTTTTCAATACCCATACTTATTTTAGTTCCTCCTTTATCAGCTGGTAAGACCACTTTATGTAAAGCTGCTATGTGTTGAATAGTAGACAATTCCTTACCCCTCTTATTAACTGGGTCGTAAGTAGGGTCAGCTTTTTGAGCCTCATCAATTTTCCTAATAATTAAAGCATTTAAAACTTGTCTAGCCTCAGCTTCGGTTAATCCAGTTTTTTCTACCAAAGAACTAATCATTTTAACCTCTAATCGTTCAGGGAAATCAGGGTCATTACCAATAAAGGTTTGTATCATTAACTTTAATAAGTCTTTGGCTCTTTCTATATCCAAATTAGGAGCATCAGGCTCAGGTTGACCCATATATCTTGCTCACAAGTTTTTATCTGGTTTTCAAGTTGGATATTCAGTTCTAAAAGTAGGGAATTCAGGAAGACCTTGTAAACCAACCAACATTTCCTCAGGAGCAGGAGCTTCTCCATTCTTTTCTATCATTCGTAAAGCAATACCTGCTCGAATAAAATTAACTCCCATGTGAACTTTGGTCTTGCTATCTGTAATAGCAGCAAATCCTGCTCCCAAACCTTGTATGCCCTTGGAAACTGTTCCTAAAATAGTAGCCTTAACCATATCACTAATTAAATCAGGAACTATTCGAACTTCTTCAAAAGTGGTGCTGATTGTGCCTCAAAACCCTTCTTGAATACGACCACCACGACCTCGTTGTTGGGCTCCCTCGGCTATTGGATAAGGCTGAGTTTGTGGTTTGCCATATTTACAAAAATCTCCCAAAGTTGTTATTTCAACCAATCCACTGGAAATAGTATTTTGGATGTCAGGAGTAAATCCTCGACCATATCTAGTTTAATGGCAACACAACTACCGGTTTTAATTTAACTAAAAATACTCCTAAAAAACTACTGAATGATTTAGTAGAAAT